GAGACACGGACCACATGGATATAAGCGTCATCTGGGGCCACCTGCTTGTGACTAGGTCAATGTATGAGGACATCTGCCGTTTTCATTGTGTTTCCCTCACGGTTTGTTAGGATGTTGCTCCAGTTTGCTGCTAGCTCAAACAAGACTAAAGCCAATGACTGCAGAAAACATCCAGTGACTTTGTAGACTTGGGAAGACTCATCCAAGAACATGTGTTTCCTCAATATAAAAGCAGCTTACATTTGTAACTCCTAAACCAGGGAATTTGATATATTTTTTTATCATCATTAGGATGCTAAGACACTCCTGACAGATGTGTCCAAATGAGAACTCATGTAGCTAATCCCTCATTGGGGCTCTAAGTTGTGTCAAGTTGACAGGTAAGCTAAGCATCACCATTAGGGTAGTGCTTCTCAAAGTGCTGTGGTGGTTTGAATGGGAATGGCCCTATAGGCTTACACAGTTTAACACTTCATCCTTAGGAACTGTTTGGGAAGGATAGAAGGTGTAACCTTATTGAAGTAAGTTTGGTGTGGGAGAATTGTCTGTATTCTGTCAATCATATTTTAATAAAACGCTGATTGGCCAGGCAGGCAGTATAGGCGGGAAAGCCAGACAGGAAATAGGGGTGGAGCAAAGAGACTGGGAGTATTCTGGGAAGCAGGAAACTCCCTCTGCACTCCTGCGCAGACCACCGAAGAGGCAGCATGTAACTTGCCCAGCTGAGAAAGGTATGGAGCCATGTGGCTAATGTAGATAAGGATAATGGGGTAACATAAGTTATAAGAGTTAACAAGAAGCCTGACCTAATGGGCCAATCAGTTTATAACCTTATGGAGTCCTGTGTGTGATTTCTCTTTGGGATTTGCCGGCTGTGGGGTACCGGGCAGGACAGAAACCCCAACAAGCCAGCCCCGTCATACTACTACAGTTTTCCACTACCTACTACTGCAGTTTTCCATTGCAGGTAGGATTTGAGGTTTCAAAAGACTTATGCCATTCTCCTGGTTTTGGATCGGGATGTGAGGTCTCAGCTACTACTGCCACAATGCCCTTGCTCTGCCATCATGGACTCTAACCCTCTGAAACCATAAGCCAAATTAAACACTTTCTTTTAAAAATTGTCTTAAATGTGGTGTTTTGTCATGGCAAGAGAAAAGTAACTAAGGAGTCATGATCCAGTCTCAGAGGAAGCAAGATGTGACTGCCTTGCAGAAAAAGATACCAAGCCACATGGTTAACTCAGACAAGAATTATGGGCTAATGTAAATTATAAGAATTAGTTAATACGAAGCCTGAGCTAATGAACCAATCAGTTTATAACTAATGTAAACCTCTGTGTGATTCTTTGGAACTTAATGACTGCAGGACCGGGTGGGACAGAAAACTATGATTAACAAATGGTGCCCACGTGGACAACTGCATCCACATAAAGCCTGAGAGAGCTTGGGAAGTAATTTTAGACAGGAAAAAATAGAGTTAAGCATGGCTTATTGATAGCAGCACTTTCTCAGGTGGGCTCTGCTTGCTAGAGGCAAGCACTCTCATTTAAGAGAGGCTTCCTACTCAGCTTTAGCTGCAAAACCTTGCAGCTCTTTTAAGAGGTCCTGCCATGAAACACTTAAATGGTGTTGATGAAAAGCTGACCACATGTTTTTTGGTTGTGGCAGGGACCTTGAAACAACATAGAGTTGTGGCAACAAACATGTCTCCAGCTAGTACCTCTGCCATGAAGCTAGAATTTCAGAAAGCTAAGGAATGGGCTGGGTCCAGCTGGCAAAGCCATGGTTTTAATGCTAGCCATATTGCTTATCAAATCAAAGACTCATGTGGTCAGAAAAAGAGAGATACAGTAAAGAGAGTTTCAGACAAAAAAATCCTATAAGAATTTACAGTGTGTTTAAAAATATATGTTAGCTTGAAAAAAAAGAAAAAAAAGTTAAAGTACTTAAAATGAAAAAGAAAGGAAGAGAGTAGTTGGGTGTGGTGGCACACACCTTTAATCTCAACACTTGGGGGAAAGAGGCAGACAGATCTCTGTGAGTTCATGCTGTGGTGGCACACACATTTTAATCCCAGCACTTGGGAGGCAGAGACAGGCAGATCTCTGTGAGTACAAGGACAGCCTGGTTTACAGAGTGAATTCCAGGACAGCTAAAGATACACAGAGAAATCTAGTCTTAAAAATCCAAAAATTAAAAATAGAAATAAAAGAAATAGAGTTTAAAATAAAGCCACATAAAGATGGAAAATACACAGAGTGTCTGGCTACTGTATGTTATTGTGTTGTCTTTGAATTGTTTGATGACTGAGGAAGGAGTAACAGCTGCTAAAAGACATTTGTTTATTAATGCTGCTGAATTAATCCAAGATAGGTATTTTGGAAATACCTTGACTTTAAAATTGAAGTAAAAAAATGTTACTTTGGAGAAGAGGTTTTGTTTTTGTTTCCACAGGAAATGAGAGGCTGTGGATTCATTCTGGATTAGGAAAATAAGGATTGATCAAGGAAGATCCCTTGAGAAAACTCTGATAGGAGTGGATGGCACAGATGTCTGAGTTCTACATCCAGAACAGATTCAAGACTGCTGCCTGAGATGATCAAGCCTCACAGAATACTCCAGTCAGTCAGAACTTGATCATAATTCTAAATTTTCTTTGGGTCCTCATGGGATTATCAGTACCCCCAATCAGCAGGAAGTAGCCTGGAAAACTATTCCCACATTCCCCAAAAATGGATTATGGATGTTTGCCTTTGTTTAGAATGTTGGTTACAAGATGTTAAGAATAATGAATGGTCTGAACAAAAAGCTAAACAAAGGAGATTCTATTCAGAGTTCTTGTTTAAAGAAAAGGGGGTAAATGCTGCGGGACAATGGTCTTTTATCCTGTAACTTGCATTATTTTTAATAAAATGCTGATTGGTCAGTACGTAGCCAGGTGTAACATGTGGGGCTGGCTTGTTGGGGTATCTGTCCTGCCCAGTAC